AATTGGTGCAATGAGAACAATATGACTCCGAAGCCTTCTAAGTGTCATATAATGACTGTAAATTTTTTGAAAGATGTCAGTGTTAATGTAGAGTCCCCCATTTTCAATTTAAATAGCACAAACATTGATGTAGTAGAGCATATGAAATTGCTTGGTGTCATAATCCAATGTAATTTGAAGTGGGACCTTAACACCCAAGATATTTTCTCACGGGCATCAAGAAGATTGTTTGTTCTGTGTATACTAAAGAAAGCAAACGTTGTTCTTGATGACCTACTCACTGTTTATGCTTCCTACATTAGGCCCATCTTGGAATACGCTTGCCAAGTATGGCATGGTGCTATTACCAATAAAATGGCCAATAGCATTGAAACCATTCAGAAAAGAGCATGTTGCATAATGTTAGGTGCTGTCTACATTAATGACAATGCCCTAGAGGTTACGGGTTTACCATCACTTGCGGCAAGGAGAGAAACCCTTGTTTTGTCTTTTAGCAGGGATTTGCTTAAGTCTGACTGTTCGTGACATGTTGCCTCCTTGCCGCGAGCACAAGAGAACCCTTAGGTCTAATAGAATTAGAACTCTTGATATCTCCAGATGCAAAACTGAAAGATATAGAAGTTCTGCCATACCTACTAATTGTTAATTTGATCAATGCAATAATTAAGTTCGTGTTAATTTTAATCCTGTATCATAACGATTTTTTGACTTTTTTTTTTATTTTAATTTAATTATAGTAATTTGGTGTATATACAGTATTTATATATATATTTTGTAATATGAAATTAATTTTTAACTTTTCTACTGGAATTATTTCAATGTTTTGATATTTCGATATGTATTTTTCCACCTGACCACCTATGTTGTCTTTATTTGTTGATTGCTGTTGTTTTGTTTTGTGTTTTATACCTTAATGAATAAATAAATAAATATTGATTCATAGCAGTGTAGCAAATCATGCCACGTGTGTTAAGTTACGTTTATCTCACTTGCGAGATGCAGATGTCACGCTCAACTCTAAAAAGTGCGACTTTCATTGCACCGAGGTTAAATTTTTGGGTCACATCATTGACGGTGCTGGGGTTAGGATATATGACGAAAAGGTCACAGCCATTACTAGGTACCCAGTTCCGCGCAACGTCCCTGAACTATGCAGATATCTAGGAATGGTACAACATCTGGGGAAATTTGTCCCAAGATTGGCACACATCAGTGCACCAATTCGACAGTTACTTTGTAAGGACACTGTGTGGACTTGGGGTGATAAACACCAAACTGCATTTCAACAAGTTAAGCACATTTTAGTCTCAGCTGCGGTGGTTTGGAGTTGTGACAAATTCCAGGAGTACGTCATGGGATTGGACTTTCAGGTAGAAACAGATCATAAGCCTCTGATCAGTCTGTTGATGAGTAAGGAACTAGCGAAACTACCTCCACGAATCCTCCGCTTCAGACTTTGACTTATACGGTATATGTCGAAGGCAAGAATCAGGTGGTTGCCGATGTGCTTTCGAGAGCTCCGGTGGATCTACCTACGAAAGGTGATTTAATACAAATTGAGGAAGTTGAAACATTTGCGAAGGCTGCAAATGACAGTTTACCAGCGACTCCTACTCGTCTAAGGGAGATCAAGGAAGCACAGCGAAGCGACGCTGAATGCACCCAAATCTATGAGTACTGCAAGAATGGTTGGCCTCCATACAGGCCTGATACACCATTTATGGGGAAACACTGGGAACATTGTCATCATCTCTCGATTGTGGATGATTTGATTCTGTATGATAACAGAATAGTGGTACCAAGAGACTTGTGACTTGATATGCTCAGGAAAATTTACCGCGGACATCTTGGAATCTGGAAGTGCTGTGGACGTGCCGCTATTTCTATTTGGTGGCCTGGCATGTCAGCAATGATTGAAGACATGGTTAAGAAATGTGACGCTTGTAATAAATACAACAATCCACCAAAAGTTGAACCACTGTTGCCTTCGTCGTTTCCTTCACGCCCATGGGAACACATTGGACATTTGTTTAACTATGGAAATAGAGAATACCTACTTGTTGTGGACTATTATTCTCGATGGATCGCTATAGAACAGATAGTAGATACATCATCTCGCGGTATACATACCGCGAGGTGATGTATCATTGACATACTTCGGAAGATCTTCGCTGTCCATGGAATACCAGACACGGTTGTCTCTGATAATGGTCCGCAGTACAGCAGTCCACAATATCCTAAGGCGAATGGAGAAGCCGAAAGATCGGTCAGAACTGCCAAAGCGATTTTTAAGAAGAACGATGATCCTTACTTAGCATTATTATTGTACCGTTCATCTCCTCTCCAGAATGGAAAATCGCCAAGTGAGCTATTAATGAATAGAAGACTTCATACTCAGACTTCGTACTCAGTTGCTTACAATGGATGCCCAACTCTGCAGTCCCGGATAAGTCAAATATAGCGGAGCGTGAGCACCATTATCGCAAAAATCAAGCAACTCAGTTTAATAGGCGACATAACGCCAGAAACTTGCCAGAGCTAGGAGAGATGGAGAGTTTGTTTATGTCAGGGACCAAAAGTGTAAAGGGACGGTTGTAGCAAAGCGAGCAGAGCCGCGCTCATATGCTTTAACAAAGTTGATGACCCGTAGTGGAAGAACTGTTAAACCGAATGGGAAGTACAGAGATTATGTAACATGAACTGTCAGTTCATAAATAATAATAAGTAATCAGAATTGTAGTGGTAATCTTAAAGTAATCATATTTTTAATAGTTGTTCAGTTTACAGTCTTGTTTGAGTTTATTAACAGTATTGTAAATCCACACCAAATAAGGGGGATGTAGGATTGGCGTATTGCCAGTTTAGTTGGTTCATAGTTGTGCTGCCCTCTGGGTTGTTGTTGTTGTTCCAGCATGGCTGCTGGCGAGGCCGTAAAGTGTTTGGCAGAATAAAAGTTTCCATTCTAGTTTATACTGGACTACCTTGTATTACTTGGCTACCTAATACTACAGTTGGAACCCATGAAAAACGATCAGAAATTAAAAAATGTTTGATCTCAGGCTCTTAATTAGCGAGATACGTGCTAACGAAGTATGTGCTAAGCGATACCTTTCACGTTTAACTGACCATATCTTGGTAAGTATAGTACCTATTGAGCTGATTTTTGTGTCATTTTACAGCTATTGAGTAGCCCTATAACTTTCTAAATATATGTTAACCTCTCAAATCAGTGACTATAAAAATGTTGCTATAGATTAAAAAGTTCAAAAGTTGAATAAAAATTATCTTTTTTTTCTTCAAAATCATGCTAGATGTACATTATAATGTAAAGAATCTTCTCTATAAGTTTGGTGATGGGATTTTGATTGAACACGCCATATATAATTGCTCATTTGTCAGGAACTGTTAGAGCGTGTCCTAACCAGATACTAAAATTTGAACAAAGTCCAAGAGATTGATGTGTTTTTTTTTTTTGTTTTTTTTTTGTAGATTTGACATGGTAGTTATTTATAGATTTTCAAAAATCCCAAACTACCCATCTTAGCCTATAATATGTATTAAAATTGTAGTGTACTATATTATTGTATTTGGGTATGTGTTTTCAAAGCAACCAACCAAACAATTACCTTAACCTATTTTGGTCAAACTTTTGATTCAATCTTCTCAATCTGGTGAAATAATTACTGAACTGAACTAGTTGAACTTGCCTAAGTTGAATTTGTTTGGTGTCGATACCGTTGCTTTGTGTATTACACCACTAGTTAGGCATTTACCGTCCAATGAACACCACTTTTTTACTTTACAATTGCATTTGGTTTGTTTAGTATCATTTGATTGCGGACTGATATCTTCTGTTTCATTGTATCTATGATTGATAAGTTTCAGTAGAGGCCTGAGGCTTTTTTTTTGTCAGATTCCTCTTCTGTCACATATATTATTATTCAACTTTGAACTTTATTATATTTGATTTACATATTTAGTTGTATTATCTAACATCATTTAACCTCATGAGTATTTGTCTGCTGAAGTTACAATGTTCAAAGTCCAGGCATTGTGTATGTCAAAGCAAGGACCTTTACAGATAAAACCCTTGACTATAGGTCCATTCAAACCAACACATTATTAAAAGTTAAAGGGGCAAACAGACTTCTTGGTGGTGGAACACAAACCTCGTAAAAGTTTATTTTAAAACTGTTTATTTTTCAAAGTGCTGATTACTTTATTGACTTTAGTTGGAAGAATTAAAAAGTACAGCAATGCTACAATACATAAACAGAATAAAGCGAATTTTGAGGATAACCAAAAATTTAAAACATATTTTAATTGTGGTCCTTACAAAACACTTGGCAAAATAATAAAAATCATTTTCTTCAATATGATATAATACTGGTTTTAAATCAATTATTAATCATTTAATATAGATCTAATTTTAACAATACATGTAAAATTTTAAATATTAGAGGTTTTCTGAGTGACACATTATTTTTTTGTAGCCCTTGTGATTTTGAAAGTGTTTATGTAAATATATTACAGATGCCTTATGTAGGCCTACTATTACTGTGTATATATCCGATAGGAATAATAATCCTCCATTGCAATTTATTATTTGGTGTACCATCTTGTGTATAAGACGACCACCGAGTTTGAGAATACCCACTACTATAGTAACCCTGTTGGTTACAGAATGCTAATACTGTACTCCTAGGAATCAATCATGACAGTCAAATCAACATTTGCATTTACAGGTATTTTGCATAGTGTATCGTACAATAAAAACAATCAATTATATTATTTGTTATTTGTATAAGATTTTGATACAAGAAGCAAGACTGGTATTAATTTGCAATGCCTTATTTTATGCTCAGTAACAGTAATACTAATAGTTAACCAGTACTCTATAACCCATACCCTAAACCAAACAAAGCAATTGTCTCAAACCAGGGCTTCTGTCTGAGGTTTTACAATAGTCAAAAAAAAGCATTTAATATTAATGTACATACCTCCAACCCTGGAAATAATTCCACAAATAATTCAACCGTATGTTGGTTAATTATCAGCTTATGATCTGTTCTTGCCAAAACGTTGCGTGCAGCTAAAATAATAATGTAATAATGATTTTATTTGAAACAATTTCCTTAATAATTAATTGGCCCATCTTTGTAGGTTTTGAATTTTTGTCTACGATACTAGCCTAGGTAGGCCTATCTGTAAGTCAAAAAAGTAATATAGTAGAGGAAAAAACTTACTTTCTGGCTTGTCAAAACTGATAATTGCGTATGGACCATCATCGTCATTGAAGAGACACACGTTATCTACATCTCCGCCTCCAGATTTTTTCTCATTTTGAAAATAAATCTGTAATTTATCATCTAGGCCCCATGGACATTTTTGCGGAAGACCGTTAAACTTCACACAAATTGCTGCATTTGGTGCTACTGAACCCTTGGCGATTTTCGGCGGTGGAGACACAGACATATTGTATGAATTTACAGTTACTGTCGATTCAAAATCATAGCTCTCCTAGGTAGTAGAAAATGAATGTGCCTGACGATCGCAGACTGATCATTGGATGGAGTCTTTTTGCGAAATAAAAAGGATCAAAATCCTCTAAATCGCAAGGCTATAACCAACTACTTACAGTAAAAAAAAGAGTCAGCCCAACACTTAGGTGCATTGAAAGATGAGAATATTATGCCCCAAATATACAATAACCAAGCAAAAGCAACCGACAATTACTGAGGCGAGTTCGTTTCTTCAACCCTTTGGTTTCTTGGTTAAAATCATTTATTTCTTGTTTGGGAAATTCCCAAGTACAGGTATGACGTATTTGATATGCACTATCCAATCAGAGTGAAGTTGGAATTTCCACTGCTTAATTTCTGCGACATACCTGGATATGATGTCGGTCGATGTCCCCGATTTCGGATAAGACTACAATACAATCACAAGACAGAAGTATTAATTAATCCTGTTTGCTATGTTTTTCGTGACTGAACAATGTATGTATATTTATATTGTTTAATTTTTAATATAAATCATTGTCGACTAATAACTACACCTTACTCTAGGCCTAGGCTTTGATCAAGGGATTCAAGGTCTAGCTAGGTGACCTCTCATCTTGTTGTTGTAAGTGTCTAGGGATAGGCCTAGGGTAATTCAGGCCTAGGGCCTACACGAGCACCTTGCTTCGAGGAGGAGGACCAGGGGGTAGTGGAAAGTAAGACAAGGGAGTTTTTATATAGTGAAGAATGGATTGTCTGGTCGTTCTGAGGCGTTTTGGCCTTTATTCTATACCGAATTTAGTTCTTTGTGAGCATCGCATGTACCTTTGGCTTTGTCCTACTCAATTTAAGATGTTTTCACAATTTGCAAAATGCCCAAGCTATAGATAGGCCCTAGCCTACTTGCACAATTTGCAAACTGTGCAAGGATTTCTTTGCACAATTTGAAACTCTGGAAGATTCTGCACAGTTTGGAAACTGCAAGCCAAGGAGATTGTTGCACAGTTTTAAAATGAGCGAACAATTTGCAAACTGTGCAAGGGTCACTTAGCTCACATTTTAATCTATTTGAACCTTTTGATACTGATTACTGTAGGCCATTTTTTGTTTTTTTGTGTTTATGGCGTGACATTGAATAAAAACGTTGGCACATGTAAGCCGGATATGCATGGCCATGGATTGTGTGTACCAGTGAGATGGACCTCAGGCCTAGTCCTATAATATAAACTACGATTTTTCCGAAGGACTTTACATCGTCATCATAGATAGTAATTTTGTTATTTATCTCTACTAAATCAGTATATTGTTGGTGAAAGCCTTCCTAGCATTGACAGAACTTTCATGCGCATGCCCAGAATGGTCTATCTGGGATTTTAGACACATGTACTGTACTTAACAGTAGTGAAGTCACGATGCGATTGTGTTTTTGTTTATTTATCTCTACTAAATCAGTATATTGTTGGTGAAAGCCTTCCTAGCATTGACAGAACTTTCATGCGCATGCCCAGAATGGTCTATCTGGGATCTTTAGACACATGTACTGGTACTTGACTGTAGTGAAGTCACGATGCGATTGTGATTTTGTTTAAATGGACAGTAGAATTTGGTGTACAATATGTTTTTAGATAATAAACAACATTTTAAATATGATAATAATACTGTACAATGAAGACAAATAATAGATTTAGATAAGCATTACTATCTACGCAGCCCACTTGGCTCCAATTGGGCGATGTTTTAGGCCTTGGCTGGCTAGTGTCACTCCTACCTAGCGTACGAAACGACTAGGCCTACCTAGGCGAGAAAGAAATAATTATTGTACATACAAACAAATCTGTTTTACATACAACCAATTTCCTTGGTTTGACAACATATTAAAATGGAATTTACTTTCTGCTATAGCATGCTTCAGTCAAATTATTGACTTTCCAAGCAGTTTATGAAGAAGTCTAGGCCTAGCCTAGGTCGGCAAAAAATTGCCATCCTGCAGAAATTGTGGCTCTGCAATATGGTCAGATTGCTGATTGCCGATGTGAAATTCATGGGCTGCACGATATCTCAAAAACTAATCAACTGATATGAATGAAACTTTCGTGAGAGTTTAACCAAGTTACAAGGAAGAAATTATCAAGTGTTGTTCTCAACCAAATTCCAGGGTGAGTTTGAGGGTCATTTAAATTTTTAAGGTTTTGCATCTTTCTTGTGTTCAAAATATCTCAAAAACAGCTGCACTGATCTTAAATGGAAGATACAAGAAATGTTACATATGACCCAAGGATGAATTGATAAACTTTTAGTCACCATTCGAAGTAGGGTGTGGATATGACAACCATTGAAAGGAAACCATCCCAGACTAGATATTAAAAAAAAAATAATCAACCTATATGAATAAAACTTTCGTGAAATTTCAAGTAACTTATCAAGGAAGAAATTATGAAGTGTTGGTGTGCACTTGATGCCAGTGTCATATAAAATCCTGAGATCCCAGACCTAAATATCTCTAAAAATAATCAGTGGCTCTAAATGACACTACCCAGAATATTAATTGTCATTGCATGTTCCGATGAAGAAATGTTTAAATTTTGGTGACCATCCGGAGTAGGGTTTGGATATGAAGACCATTTAAATGAAAACGTCCCAGAAAATATATTTCAAAAACTAATTAGCTGACATGAATGAAACTTTTCGTGGAAGCTTAACCAAGGTCCAAGGAAGAAATTATGTAGTGTTGGTGACGATCCAAATTCTGCTGTGCATTTGAGGGCCATAAGGTCCCAGATCTAAATATCTCGAAAATGGATCAATGGATAAAAGAGACAATTAGCAGAATAGTTTTGTCATGTTTAAATATAGTAAAGTATGTCAATTTTGTTAACGCTCCGAATTAGGGTGTGGATATGAGGACCATTTAAAGAAGTTTACCGTACAGTAGGTAGAAAAAATAGCTATATATGAATATTTAAATTAGTACTAACTTCACTTTTTTTTTTTAAACTTATTGGGAATATTTTTAATTCAATTTTACTTTTAAACATTGACACTAAAAACCAAATCCCCGTATTACATTTAATCTCATGTCATGTTTTCCGACGATGCATTTAAAAATAAAAATAAAAAATCCCATTTCTATTTCCAAAATATTTCCATTTCAATGCCAATACATTGCATGTACTGTATTGTGTTTGTCGGCTAAAAGAGTAAAACTTGCCGGTAGGTTAAGTCGGAACATGTCATGAATTGGCAGGTGTACAACTGATACAATAATAGGCATTTGAAAAGTGAAGTGCTTATATTTTGGTTTCGATTATAGACCAATCAAAGCAATCGCAGAGTCGTTTCAGCCTCCTTGCCTAGGTCATTTTGGCCCTAAAAAACGGCCGAAATACCTATCCGAATCGACCCGGGCCAAATGAACTCGGGGTTCTGTTTTACAAACCTACATATCAAGTCAAGTTTTACCTATTTCTTATTTCAACAGAATTATTATGGATGACATATTTACCAGATGTGTACTGATTTTTGGCAGTTACCCATCATTGGGTAATGATCAACTTACTCTAGATTATCTTAAAGAAAATGGATTCTTCTTGGACAAATTCATGCCTATCTCTGGAAGTAATCCCATGGCATTGGCTATTTTAAAAGATCAGAAAGGTATTGTAAGACAGCCTTCTACCTCTGAAGCAGTCATAGTTGATAAGAATATTTTCTTATTTTAATTTGCTTGATGTTCATAGAGTATGTCATATATATCCATTTGCAGTTTTAATTATCTTAATTCAACTGTGTTTCTTTTTCAGATTTTGACAAGTTATCAAAGAAGAACTATGCAGATGTTCACTTCAAAAAGTTTCTTGTAAGATATTGTTTAATAGGCCTGTGAATTGGAGAATGATAAATTAACATCTGTTATGGAACCTTTATTGATAATGAAGTGAAGTACACGATAATAGCCAAGAGATGAACAAATTCCAATTATAAATTTAAAACAATACCCAACAATATGTGCAGTAAACTCAGAAAATCACTTTAAAGTCACCAAATTATTTTCGTAATTCTAATACAAGGATGTTTCTAGTGAAACAACACATATTTTTCCTATTTATAACAAGGGGCTTGGTTTCGATATAAAAACATGGGAACAAGAGCAACAACTCCTATTCAAAACATAGGTGCCAAATGGAACATAATATCATTTAAAGTATTTGGAAAAGGGAATGATTTCTATAAGAAAGAGAAAACAAGGAAAATATATTTGAGTTAATACAATACAATGGCATGGCTCCCATTTAAAACATGTGGCAAAGACAAGCCAAACCTATCACTTCTCGTAAATCATGTTTTAGAGATAATGGCCAAATGATGTTTGAATGTCAACATTTTCAAAATCTATTTTATTACACAAACTAAACATTATATATACTACATTATGCTATGTTGTTATTTTTTCGACGTTGAACCAAGATTTTGTTACAATTTGGTGATGGTCCAAAATCGTAAACTTTAAGGGCTGATTTCTCAAAAATACTGTTCTAAATACAGTTGTATGTTTAAAGTCCTGTAACAAAATGTCGGATTTAAGTTCTATTACCATATTTTTATAGCTTTCTTTTTAATGTTTAACCCTGTATTAATAATCTGTTTTTTGCTTGTCTTTGCCACATATAGAAAACTGAGGAGGATGTTTTTCTTTTTTAAGATCTAACTGAATTTATTGATTTTTACTTTTGAAACATCTTCCCTTTCCCTAACACTTCCCCTTTCCTGACACTGTTATGCCTGAAATATTTAATTAGTGTGGCACATTAAAGTTTGGTGTCTTTGGGCTTTAGGTCATGATTATAAACATTAATTAATAAACTTTTAAAATAACTATTACGATTATAAATTGACAAGAGCATATCTATAGTGAAAATTAAATATCAACAAATAGGGATTTTTTAACATCCAATCTATGAAGTCTTTTTACTATTTTTTTATACACAGACAATTGAAGATGAAAAATCAGATTTCTGCGCCATTGAATTGAGTACAGTCATTACTGAACTTGCAAGAAGTTTAGATAGTCGAGAAATAAAACAAAAATTGCAGGGAAGTTACACATGTAGTGATGGCGGTCTGTTGGTTTTTGGTGACTTGTCTGGTATTATGGGTCTTATATCAGTGCTAACTGAAAAAGTTGAAGAATACCTCAAAGCTGTTTACAATGCTGAGTTTGCAAATTATGACACATCAATCAATGACTTCATCTCACAAAGTGTTGTTGTCACAGGATTTCCAATAGGAACATCTGTAGACAGGATTAAGATAGCTTTGCAGAAAAGGAAAGATGGTGGTGGTGATGTGGAATGTATACATCCAGTGGGGTCACTGACAGATAGTGCTATTGCAGTCTTCTCAGAACGTCATGGTAATTGTTTTCTTTTTTAATGATTTTGTTTGATTTTATGCACAAATCAAGTTTTACATTCAAAATCAAAGATATTTTAAATAGTGCGAAAGCTAATGCCTTATTGCTTTTCACCTACAACATTCATATGGATAAATGATAAGCTACAAAATATACCATAAAAGAATTACTTTTTCAACTTCCATACGTCAAACTATATATTGAGTATTTTTTTAACTCCTTGTAAACTAGTGGTTGATAACTTGAAGGCTAAAGGAATAATGAACACTCTCAGATTTCCGGATCACAAACTTCAAATCAAAGCTCTGACAGTAAGTGTGTACAGTATTCATTATTTATATATCTTGTGATGGATGGTATTTAAATGTAAATTGTTAAATTATATTAAATCTTGACTACAGCAAATTTTATTTGAGTGAATAAGTGGTTTAATGATTCCTGATGAAGTGGTTAAATATGTGTGGAAAAAACATTCATTACAAAAGATTGATATACATTAATAAATAATATTTAACCTAAATAGAAACAACAACAGTAATAATTATTATAATGTATAATAATTATAAAATTATTGCGTAAAAGTGTAAATAAAATAATATTATGTATTATAATTAAAATATTCTAGAAATTTGAAATTAAATAATTTAATTCAGGTCAGGTCAAGTCACTCCCATAGTCCGAAGACCGTTGGGGCACTTTGATGATAACACCCTCCACTTCAGTCGATCCTCTGCTTCCCACAATCAAAACGTCATACTCTTCCCCATGCAATCTGAGATGTGTAATTTATTTACAGTATTAATAATGTATTGCTCACAAATCCAGCTTGGAAAAATGTGGCACACATAGACCTTAAATTCACCATTTAAATTACAAAAAAAACAAAACAGTTGTTATAGAAACTTAGTGTTAGTATTATATATTTGTAGTCTTATAACATAAGTAAAAAAGTAGCTTCCAATGGAAGCATGTATCTACTACTTGACATAGTTTAGTTTTTAGTAAAAGTAGTACTGATTCTGTTGGATAAACATTTAGGAATGTAGAAACAAAGTACAAGTACTTCGGACACAGTTGTTAACTTACAACTATTACAATTAAAAATTTTAACAAGAAAAAAAAAATCTGTCAATTAACAGACAGTGAGTAACATTTAAGGATTTTTTTTTATAGAACTGTCTGTCAATCAGTGAAAGCTATTTTTTACTTTCATCTAATATTTATAAGCTATTCAATTTTTTTGAATATGAACGTAATGTTTGTGAGAAATCAACATTTATAATAATACTTACGCCAGTATTCTTAAAACGAACTTTAGTCGAACTTCGATCTAGAACTTCATTAAGTCCTAGACGCAGGGTTCCCAGAATGCCGCCCTCAGCGGCGTGTGCGAAGCAACTCAAGAGTCAGAAGTGGAACGTGAATTTCGATTTGGTTTCGTAGTCAGATTTTCGACAAAAACTTCAGCTACCCGTATTTCTCGACTGAGACGTCAATGTGAGCTGTAATTTGTATGGCAAGGAGATGGTGCTACCCTTAATTCGTATTAAGGGAATTTACGCCCACAAACCTTGTAGTTATTAATATTTTGGTTATAATAGAAAATTTTTATTTTTTGGTGACGTCACACTCACACTATAGTTAGCATGCATACGTCATAAGCTAGATTACGTCAACTTTTCCTTGTAAGGCAAACTTTCCCGGCATGCTTTTCTCATGGATAAACAAACACCACTGCTTTGCACATGAATGCCTTGCCTAGCTAGGGCTACAAGAGCCGCATAGTTAGCATACTTAAATAAGGTACGTCTGCAACTGAATTATTCTAGGCCCTAGTTAATTTTTTTTTTCTTATTTTAATTTATTTCTTTCGAAAGTGTACTTTCTATCACATAGGCCTATAATTGCACTGTCTACTTAGGCCTAGGCCTAGTCATATTATGCTTCATCGTCCCCGCTATACACAGTACATCAGTAGGCTAGCCCCCCCCCCACGCTACAGTACAGACGTTTGCTAGGCAAGAGAACGTGATTACAACTTCCTCTTAGGTGTTCATGTAAATTTGCATATTGTTAGCTAACCAGCTGCATGTATTCCTTTGTGAAAATGAGTACCGCGGCGTACTCATTTTCACAAAGCATTTGCATCCCCATCTTAGAAAGAGGGAACTTCGAAATGATTGTCTCCATATTTTCGCTAATTAATCACCGTAATTTAGCTTATACTTATGCATGGGGGAGCACTTAAAATGTACAATAATCATTTCACTACCCGACAAACCCCGAACTTTATTCATGCATTACATAAATAGTTTCATCTTGCTGTACTTCAACATCACTGGCGCATGGTAACAACCAACTGGCAAACCATTTCCGGTCACACATTACTCTCCATAACGCAGCCCCCCCTTTTAGTCCTCTGGTTGCAACTTAAACTTAAATTTGTAAGCAATGTAGTCAAAGTTCTAACTACAACTAAATCAAGTCCTAGTTTTAGTTCAGCTGAAAACGGCTGGCAAGCAACAACTATCAAATTAACCAATGAAAAGAGCTCATTTTTATAACAGATGAAATTTTAGAGATCCGGTAATGCGGATGAATATTAAGCTGCGGCCTTCTGTTCAAAAACATATTTCCTCAAAATTCATAGTAGATAATCATTTGCTTAATTAATTTCCTATAATAATAACTATTAGTCGTTAACATAAACGATAGAGAATTTGAACAGTCGCTGAAAATTTACTTCTTTGGATAACTATTATAGATGAGCCCAAGGGAGGGCGGCGCCATCTTTGCTGTTGTTATGGTGAAGCTACAGGTACGTGACCGCAACGGGAGAAAATTTTGTGCAAATCAGGAACTATCGCATGTGGCTAGCAAAACATGTTAATTTCTGCTTTTTGGAAGCTAAACTTGATGTCTCTTTTGTTTAACGCACTAAAGATATATCAAACCTGTGTTTACAATAGTTTTTATTCGTTTCACTTTATCGTGAGTTACAAACAGTTTTTAGTGGGGTAAATATTTAATGTCGGTGATTTAGCCTGACCCTAGAATACGAAATGACGTTATTTTGAAGTTTTAGTTCTAAATAAGATTAAATTTGTTTTAAGAATACTGAGGTTAGAATTGTCTTAATACCTGTGTCCAAGCATTTCTAAACGTTTATATAGGCTATATCCTTCAGAATCAGTAGTATAGTACTATAGCAGTTAGTATGCTATGCTTCACTGCTACTCAAATAACCCACCAGATTCAACGCTGCTTTTTATACTTTCAAAGACCATGCTGTATGTAAACAGTGGTATAATTACAACACAATACTAATAATAGTCCATTAACACGTTGACTGCCAGACCTTTTTTAAGGTTCCTTCCCATGTGCCAAAACAAGTTTACATGTACAAACATACTTTTTTGAAATTTTATCATAGCCATATATCATCAAAATTGTGTGTCTAATAAATTGGCCGGAAAATATTAGGGGGCGTGTATACTTGTCGATGGCACTGTGATAGAACTTTTTACTGACTACTGACTATGCCAAGTGCGAGTTATCTAGTCCGCTTTTTACATGGGTTGGTATACAGTATGTTCAAAGGGCGCCCCACTTATACACACCGCTCTAGTGTACTACCGGCAACATAACACAACAAATATACATTACGTCATTTGTACGTTATCGTCTAGGTGTATCTTTCCCCAAACTACTAGCCGTTGAGTCTGTTCTACAATGTATAATAAAAAAGTTAAAAATATTGGAATGTTACCCCGATTTTGACAAGTATACTCGTCCCTGGCACCCTCACCAACACCCTGTGGGCGAGTATACTCGTCGCTGGCAGCCACTGTGTCGACTACACGTCTCGACCGACTACTAAGAAACTTTGGGCCTACCCTACTACTGTTACACTGTAGCTTTCATATTCCACAAGCAGCAAACACTACTTTCACCGCTCGCGAAGGGAACATGCATATTCATGTTATCGGTTCACCTAAATGACCTTAAGTAGCACCCTCTATAATTTCTGCCTTAACTGTATGGAAAGAAAATAATGCCCCTCCTTTCCCCAATCCATCCATGTTTTTTGCATTGGCAGTTGACTGAGTAACTGTAGAAGTAAAAAATTGTTGACAGATGTGGCATCATATTTCATAGGCTTATGTTTGGGAGACTGTATCTTTAGCTTAATGGTATACTGTACTCTGTATGTTAACCGTGGAAGAGTGTACACTTCGATTGACACTTCCAAAAAATAATAGTTCATTTAATCAAGCAATGTAAATATATTTTGATGTATTTATTTGTACCCACACTATACAATGTTCTTTACAAAATATTCAAATAAACTTTGCTTTCATCAGGACTATGGTGATCTCGACCACCAATATATACTTGTCAGAGGTTTCAAAAAACATGATGACATTGACTCGACAAAAGACAAGCTTACTATCAACCTACAGACGCAGGCACTTGGAGGAGGTGATGTAAATGACGTAATGGTTGGTCAAGCTGGAGATATTGCTTTAGTTGAGTTTGATGATAACTCAGGTAAGTTTGTTTGTAGTAACATACAATGAGTGAATCTGTAGCTTGGTGCATAACATGCCTTCCTTGGGTCCTGGGTTAAACTTTGTTTTTGTCCTTGTTCCACACATTTACCTTGTAAAGCCTAAAAGCAGATGATAGGTATATTTCTTGTTTTATTAAAATTTTGAGAAAACCACCACCACCTGTGCTTGTTATTTGATGAAGCTGGTGCACACCTCCCCCCCCCCCACCACCACCACTGCACTATAGCTGACATAAACCCCTCTACAAAGGGTGTGAAAACCACGACCTTCAGGTCTAGTAAAAATGCCATCTAATGCTGTGTTTTCTGTTACGATTGTGTTTACCTATGAACTTCAACACCACGAATGCAGTAAGTAATAATACTGTATTCTATTGGAATGTATTTCCTCTCACTCTCCCCCAAAAAATAAATGATTATTAATGTTTGTGTTTTAAAGGTCACTTACAATTTTCAAATAACAAACTGTGCTCCACTAAACATTGCTGGTAAACAGAATATAGGCATTATATAGTTGTTATTAGTTGAACAATATATTAATTGTTATAACAGTTACAGAAAATGGCTTTTTATGGCTATTAATCAAGATACATTTATTGAATTTGGTAACTTAATTTTCTAAAGGTTTGTTATTTTCTTAAATTCTTGATTCAGTTTCAGATGGTTTGCTTCAGAAGAAGACTATTACTGCAAAAGATGGTGATGTGCTTCATTTTGGAAAGGTGACTAATAATTATTATTTTTGGAAAAAAAAGATACAGTTTTAATAGTGATGATGAAAATATTAGCAAATGAAAGATATGCACTATTATAATTAGCCTTCCTGAAGGAGCGAAGCTCTGGGGAGGCTATTGCTTTTACCGTCATGTTGTCGTTGTTATTGTCGTTCTTGTCATTGTTATTCATTTGTTTGTTACCATGAAATGGTTTCCAACTTGGAAGAATGTAAGATGGTAATAAGAAGAAAGAATTAATTGTTCCTTTTACGTATATGATAATTGCTCATTTGCATAATCAATATTTGACTAATCAGGTAATTTAGGCTAGTTACCACGATAACTAAAGTGGTAGGTTTGATTGCTTGGCAGAATGCAAGATGGTAATATAAGAAGACAGAGCCTTTTGGTTTGTGAATATGCTAATTGTTCATTTGCATAATTAATATTTCACTAATCAGGAAATTTATACTAAATACTGTCATAATTCCCAAAGAAAATTTTTAATTTAAGGGAAATTGTAATTTTTTGTCATGTCATCGCTGTTGAGGTAAATTTTTTGTTACCACGATAACTAAAGATTTGGTTTCAAATTCCTACTTATCAAATCTCAAAGAAAAATCACACTGTGGAGAGGCTATGCCTTTACTGCATAGCATAAAAGGAGCAATTCTAGTTTTTTTTTATTCATTTGTTGTGACCATGGAGATGATGCTTAGTTGCAATATACCAGTACAAATTCCCTAACTACTAAGCCTATTGCAAGTTTAGTGGAAGCTGGATGGGATCCTTCGAGAGTTTTCGTTGTCTTGCTAGAGAACCAATCCAAGAAATGTGCATATTTTTTGTGTACCACATTAGGCCTAGTTTTATTTTTCTCGTACTCGCAAACCGAGATTCAGCTGCTGGATCTCGGGCGATGAATCGAGAACTAGAAAGTAAATGTATTGCAACATTTCAATGCAATGTGATTATATTCTGTAACAAATTATTATATACTACATTGAGAAAATTATCATAATTAATACTGATTGCAATTTTGACATTAACAATGTTTTTCATCCTAGGCTAGTCCCTAGCCATTCTGTGCCATTACGGCCCAAGTGCGTGCCACGGCTGTAGCAACAGGGTGCGCTGCCACCAAGGGTTTGGTTCTCGGGGAACACAATCTTTTAGTGAGAACGGGAAATTTTCTCGGCATATTGGTTCTCAAACAAGATAGCGAAAGCTCTCTATTACCTTAAGCTCTGTCCACACTAATTTTCTTGACAAAAAACTGTTGTATGCCCAAATATAGTCTTGATGTGCCTATATATGGTCATAATGTGATGTCATCATGACCATATTTAGGCATATCACATGTTTTTGTCAAAAAAAAATTGATAGTCTGTACAGGGATTAAAGATGTGTTTTAGGCATAATGTATATACTATTGAATAGGGAGAAAATATAAATAAATATTCATTGCGTGTTGAACTGGGCCTATAGATTTGTAAAAGCTTTTTTAATGATAATAATAAATTTATTTTTGTAAGTGTATAATTCCTAAACCCTCAATCTGTGTCAAATTTAAATAAACCTAATATTTATAATTAGCAGCGAAGATCAAATATAATACAACAAAGTTGATTTGTAAATGCTCAAACAATTGTTGTAGCAACAGTTCTTAGTTTTGTTTCATCTTCCATTATAGTTAGCCATAGTCTTTTTTTTTATTATTATTTTTTTTTATTATTCCTTTTCTTTCTGCATATCCATATGTTTGTAATTCACTAAATCAATTTTATTCCAACTCATTATGTCCTGTCGGGTATACATTTATACTCCGGGCCCGGGTGCAGAGAGACAAACATAGATAAAGTGACTTGGTTGGGGTGGTGATGGATGGATTGATTCGATGGATTTATTTGTTGTATAACCTGCAAAAGTCTGAAGAATGACTTATTTCCGGTGGGTGTCATTCTGGTGGTGATTATGCAGTACACCAGGAGACAATCTCCTACTCTTTTTCCGAAAACTGTAGTGTACTGCATTCTTTATCGTGCACATGGGCCATAATTCACAATGGACCAACGGCTTCAATTTTTCATCTGGAAGATGGTGCGCTATTGTAACTTGTATTTCAGCCCTTCAGCTGGAACACAAGGAAAGCAGCGATTGGAATTGAACCGGGGACTTAGAGTTCCCCACAGTTCAGTGCACACACCTGTTTAGCTGACTGAGCTAAGCTGCTCTCATGATGATGTTGATACTGAAAATAGAAAGTAGCTGAACCTGAATTATTATCATTATTAGAAATTCAATATATACTATTTGATAAGTTGTTATTATTATTATTATTATTAAAACTTTATTTTTACACGGAAAGCTTGTTTCACCCAGAGGGTGTTAATCTACAAGGCCATGTTGTCATTGAAGTTGCAAAATAACAGTATAAAATAAAACTAACACATAATCACAAAAAAGATAAAATTATATACAAATACGAGATACAAAAAATGAAGAAAAGACCAAAACATTTTACAAAAGTGTTTTACATATTTTAACACTTGAAGAATTTCTAACATGTTCATCCGGTGCGTTCCAGAGAATAGCACCACGGTAAGATAAACTTTTCTTTTTGTATTCCGTGTGAGGACGATCAACTTTTAAGACATCATTTAATCTGGTTAAATAATTTTGTTCCCTGAATGAAAAATCTTATACATGGTTATTGCTTCATTTTTATACAATTTGTTTTCTAAATTTTCCCAATTTAAGGTCTGCAAAGTTTGTGTACTTGAATCATCTTTTCTTTTTTTCAGAATTATTTTTGCCGCTCTATTTTGTAAGACTTGTAATTTGTTTTTTTTTATTTGAGTAGATCTACCCCATACTAGGTTTTGATAGCTGAATTATGGTAAATATTTTATTTATAGTCACTGGTGAAATTTGTCACAGGATTATAAATTCAATCTATTTGATAAGTTAAATATGATAGCTAAATTATGGAATATTTTTTTTACAGTCACTGGTGAAATTTTTCTCAGGATGTGTTGTTGGCAAATTCAGTGAATCTGCTCTTCAGGTTTTTCCAGAAATCAAGAACACTCTGAACAAGGAAGAAGGGGTGAAATGGAAATGCATTGCCCCAAACGAATACCTATTTTATGCTCAAGACAGTGTGCAAGAGCTGAAAGACTTTGCTGCCAAATACATAAATGAGTCATATGAAGGAATGCAAGTTACATACAGAAAAAGTGACATTAGATATCCTCCAACATATGAGAGAGAACACATTAAAGAAATGCTTCCTCAAGCAATGATAACAGAAGAACCAGAAATTGGAAGATTGCCGAGCAGCGATGTACCAATGACTGACGAAAGCAGCACCCTCGAAGTCTGTCAAATTGATGATGTCGCGTATAATCTGTTTGGTGAAACCAAGGTCATAATACATCATGGTGACATCACAGATGAAGATGTGGATGTGATTGTAAATGCTGCGAATTGTAATTTAGAACATGGTGGCGGTGTTGCACTGGCTATTGCAAAGAGAGCTGGACCAGAACTTGAAAGAGAAGGCAATGATATCATACACCGCAGGGGCTATAGACTGCAAGTTGGTGAAGTTGTAGAGACAATGGGTTACAATCTGAAAGCCAGGCATGTCATCCATGCTGTAGGTCCAAATAGACAGTCCAGATACAAATTTAGACGTGACTTATTTAATACATTTTGTAATTGCCTGGAGCATGCAAGCAAGCTCAATGCAAAATCGATTGCCTTGCCCCTTATCAGTGCTGGCCTGTATGGAGGTGACTTGCAGGAATGTGCAGAAGAGTTGGCAAATGCATTAATTGCCTTAAGGAATGGTTATACAAAGGGTAAACAGGTTGGATTGAAAGAGATTAGAATTGTAGATAAAAATATATATGTTGCTTTAACTATTCAGGATGCATTCACAGTATTCACAAGTGAGAAAGCAAGACAAACTGAGAGTTTTGCAACAGAAGAAGATATGGAATGCATCCAAGGTGAAGTGGAAGGAGAGAGAGCAACCAGTGTATGTAAACCAAGTGCTGCATCGCAAGAAGTTAAATTTACAGATGTAGAAAACACAAAGTGTTGCCATTGCAAAAGACCTCATAAAAAATTCATCTTGGATTGCAATCATGTTGTATGTAACACTTGTTTATCAACAATTAGAAAAAATGCTGGGTCCAAAAAATGTCCGCAATGTAAACACAGAATTAGTGACAGATTGCTAAAACATTTTGAAAATGATGACACCAGCAGCTCTAGACTAAGAAGCTCACTGGAAGAAGGTGAACGTGATAGTACGGAGCAGGAAAAGGACATTTGTGTGATCTGTCTTGATGACCTCAGTGATGACTTCAAGGAACTGAAGTGTAAACATAAGTTCTGTAAAGATTGCATCGATCAAGCTTTCAAAGTGAAACCAGTATGTCCGTCTTGTGGAATGATTTGTGGAGAAATGAAAGGCAACCAACCTCCAGGCACTATGAATACATCCGAGAGGACATGGGATCTACCAGATTATGCTGGATGTGGAACTATCGAGATCAATTATCAGATTTCTTCTGGAATACAAACAGTATGTCAAGTATTTATTTTTTGACACCTTAAAAATATTCACTGGAGTGTTAGATGCTACATTATAATTATGAACACCAATAATAAAAAAATTAATTACTATTAATATTATTTTATTGATATTTAATAAGAAATTAATAATGAATTAAGTGATCCTTATGCAGGTAACCAGAATGCAGGTGATCAATAATCAGGTAATCATCATGCAGATTTTGCAGGTGATGATAGGTAGGCGATCATTGTGCAGGTAATAACTTTGCAGGTGATCGTTATGCAGATGATTATTATGCAAGTGATTACTTCAGTTGGTGATCATTATGTTGTGTATAATTTATCAGATAATCATTCATAGGAGGTGATCAGGTGATAATTGTGCAGGTTTTATAGGTGATCATAAGCAGGCAATCATTACGCAGGTGACCAATCTGTATGTGATCATTATTCAGGTGATCATCATGTAGTTGATTTTATTGGATGATCATTTATTAGATATGCACCCTTCAAAGCAAAATGTCGCAGAACAGATATCTCAAAAACTAATTAACTTATCTAAGTGAGACTTTCTTGCGGAGATATGCTTTCTACTGAGTGCTATTGTTATTGTTTTCTATGTCACTATCAATTTGTACAACATTTTATCATCATCAATATTTTCCCGTATTACTTTCTGTAGAAGGACCATCCGAATCCTGGACAAAGTTTTCAGGGAGCTCACCGGACAGCTTACCTTCCAAATAACCCTGAAGGGAAAGATGTAGCTAAACTCCTGAGAAGGGCGTTTGATGCTAAACTCGTATTTACTGTCGGAACATCAACAACATCTGGGTGCTCAAATGTAGTTACATGGAACGATATTCATCACAAAACCAATGTACATGGTGGACCGTAAGTATTCATTTTCTCAAAGCATCACACACTCTACATGGAATTTAAATTAAAAATAAGTCATGTTAATGACTACCATGTTCCCTTTTTCCATTTCTTTTTCTTATCTCTCTTTTTCTCAATTATTTTTTGGGCCCTAGCCCCCATATCTTGCCGCACCCTTGATCTGCCCCTGTTACACAACCTTGCCATCTCATCAACCTAATTCGATAGGGTAGACTAGGAATTTGGGGATAACTCTCTGGGTAGACAAATCTTTGTTATAGCTAATCAAGTACCTGAAGACATTAAAGAAAAATACTTAAGAGCGAGACAAAAGCTCAAATTATAGTATTTTTACTTACTTTACTTGTCCTCTTCGGGCCTCGTGGCCCATCAGGCTGCTGTGACGGTTCTCCAGTCGTTTCTATCCATGGTGACTTGTTTTACCTGGTTCCATGATCTCCATCCTAGGTGTCCCTCTCTTTCTCCAATGTCCTCCGCCAGGTAGTTTTCGGGCGCCCAATTCGCCTCCTTCCTTCCGGTTTCCATGTCATTGCTCTCATACAGTGATTATTGGTGTCCATCCTTAACACATGGCCAATCCATTTCCATCTTTTAATTTGTGTTTCTTTGCTTATTCTTTTCATGTTTGTGCATTCTAGCAGATTTTCATTTGATATCACATATGGCCATATGTGTGTTTATGTCATCTCCTCCTCCTCCTTGTGTACTGACTGTTGCTCCAAGATATGTGAATTTGTCCACCTCCTTTAACTCCTCTCCATCTATATTGATTTTGCTGTTTGATTTACTGTTGATTTTGAGAACTTCTGTTTTCGTCTTATTAATTTTTAGGCCAGTTCTGTTAGAAGCTCGGTTCATCTGATTTATTTTTTTTTGCCTGAATTGTGAAGTTGGTAAAATTAAAGCCACATCATCTGCAAAGAGATCGAGATCTTCCAGCTTTTTCATAAATTTCCACCGTATTCCCGTTTTGTTTCCCTCCGTTGACCTATTCATGATCCAATCTATTACAAGAAATCCTTACATCGCGTCACCTTGTTTAACTCCTGTTTTGACTTTAAACCATGCTGTTTCCTCTCCTCCTTCCAATACTGTACACTTATCCCATATAATTTTGAATATTTCTTCGAGCCATGCTGTTGTGACGTTTATATCTGCTCTTAGTAATTCTGCTGTGATCTCATCTTTTCCACCTAATTTGCCTTTTTTCATCTTTTTCAGCACTTCTTTAATCTCGCGGTTTGTGTTATGTAGCCTGTGTTTATTCCTTCAATTTCGGTAGCATCCACGAGTTCCATAACTGGATTCATTGGGAGGGGACGGTTTAGAGTTTCCTCAAAATGTTCTTTCCATCTTCTTTTCCTGTCTGACTCCTTTGTCAATAAATTACCATCTTTATCTTTCCCTGTAGTTATATGTCTCTTTCTATCGTTACTCAGTGTCTTTGTAATTTCATATAATTCTTTCATTCTTCCATTTGTTGCTGCTTTTTCTGCTGTATTTGCCAGGTCATCTGTCCACTTTCTATAATATCTTTTCTCATATTCCATTTCACTTCCTTGTCTTTATCTCTGTATCTCCCTAACAGATCCTCCTTAATCCTTCTTGACTTGGTCTGTTGTATATCATTATTCAGTTTTCTTCTCTCCTCAACCAGTATCCATGATTCTCTTCCGACCCAGTGGTGTAGAAAAATATTTTTCATTGGGGGGGATGATTGGCGTGTTAGCCAGTGTTGTAACAGGCGCGGGGGTGGGGGGCAAGGGGAAACTGCCCCTCCCCTGACGGTTTTTACCGGGCTGACCAAGCCATCGTACCGGGCTGGGTAATAAGAGAAAAGAAAGAGGGGAGAGGGAGGGAAAGAGAAAGAAGA